TATAGTGTGGGGGTGGGGGCAGGGGGACGGCTGTACCGCACAGAGAAGACAAGTAGTGAGTCTATTGCATCTTACTATGGTGATGGACAGTGATTGAAATGGGGTTTGTTGGGGGGACTTGGTGAAGGGGGTAGCCTAGTAAACATAATGTTCCTCATGTAATTGTAGATTAATGATACCAAAAATAACTCTGTAATATACCTCAGTTTATCTTTTAACCTGTATATTTATATATATACAGAGAGAGAGAGAGAGAAGGAGAGAAGAGAGACAGGAGAGATATTGAGAGACACAGGCGAGAGAGATTGAGAAATAGAGAACAAGAGAGGGAGAGGGGAGATGGGAGAGACTGGGGGGGTGAAGGGGGAGGGAGATAGTGAGATGGAGAGGGAGATTGAGAGAGAGGCAGGAGAGAAAGAGATGGGGGGATAGGAGAGGGAGGAAGAATATATCTCAATAAAGTTCATGAAGTTATGAAAGGAAAAGAGCCCTCGCTGAAAATATTTTCCTACAGCAGGCAACTTATTTATTCATAGGAAAATGAGGTTAAAAAAAAAAAGAACTACAGTGAGATACCTCTGGATCTCACCTCTCACATGGGAGAAATTTTTCAAATAAGACCATACAGACAATTGGAGAGTCTGTGGGGAAACAGACACTAAATTTGTTACTAGTGGGAATGACACTGAAAGAGCCCTTTTGGGAGGAAATTTTGAAATACTTAACAAAATTACCTATGTACTTAAAAAAATTTTTTTATTAAGGTATTATTGATATACACTCTTATAAAGATTTCACATGAAAAAAGAATGTGGTTACTACATTTTCCCTTATTATCAAGTCCCCCCATACCCCAGTGCAGTCACTGTACATCAGTGTAGTAAGATGCCACAGATTCACTATTTGCCTTCTCTGTGCTACACTGTTTTCCCCGTGATACCCCACATTATGTGTACTAAACAGAATACACCTCAATCCCCTTCTCTCTTCCTCCCCACCTGCCCTCCTACACCCCTCCCCTTTGGTAACCACTAGTCCCTTCTTGGAGTCTCTGAGTCTGCTGCTATTTTGTTCCTTCAGTTTTGCTTTGGTTTTATACTCCAGAAATGAGGGAAATTATTTGGCACTTGTCTTTCCCCGCTTGGAGTATTTCACTGAGCATAATGTCGTCCAGCTCCATCCATGTTGTTGTAAATGGTAGGATTTGTTTCTTTCTTATGGCTGAATAGAATACCATTGTGTATATGTACCACATCTTCTTTGTCCATTCATCTACTGATGGACACTTGGTAGCTTCCATTTCTTCGCTATTGTAAATAGTGCTGTGATAAACATAGGGATGCATATGTCTTTTTCAAAGTGAGCTCCTGCATTCTTAGGGTAAATTCCTAGGAGTAGAATTACTGGGTTAAATGCTATTTCTATTTTGAGTTTTTTGAGGCACCTCCATACTGCTTTTCACAATGGTTGAACTAGCTTACATTCCCACCAGCTGTGTAGGAGGGTTCCCATTTCTCCACATCCTCGCCAGCATTTGTTGTTCTTAGTCTTTTCGATGCCGGCCATCCTTACTGGTGTGAGGTGATATCTCATTGTGGTTTTAATTTGCATTTCCCTAATGATTAGTTATGTGGAGCATCTTTTCATGTATCTGTTGGCCATCTGAATTTCTTCTTTGGAGAACTGTCTCTTCATATGCTCTGTGCATTTTTTAGTTGGGTTATTTGTTTTTTGGGTGTTGAGGTGTGTAAGTTCTTTATATATTTTGGATGTTAACCTCTTGTCAGATATGTTATTTACAAATATATTCTCCCATACTGTAGGATGCCTTTTTGTTCTGTTGATAGTCTGTGGTCCTTTACTGTACAGAAACTTTTTAGTTTGATGTAGTCCCATGAGTTCATTTTTGCTTTTTTTTCCCTTGCTCGAGGAGATGCGTTCAGGGAAGAAATTGCTCATGCTTATATTCAGGAGATTTTTTTCCTATGTTGTCTTCTACGAGTTTTATGGTTTCATGACTTACATTCAGGTCTTTGATCCATTTTGAGTTTACTTTTTTGAATGGGGTTAAATAATAATCCAGTTTCATTCTCTTGCATGTAGCTGTCCAGTTTTGTCAACACCAGCTGTTGAAGAGGCTGTCATTTTCCCATTGTATGTCCATGGCTCCTTTATCATATATTAATTGACCATATATGGTTGGGTTTATATCATGGCTCTCTAGTCTGTTCCATTGGTGTATGGGTCTGTTCTTGTGCCTACTTATATGCTTTTTGATGCTGCAATCCCAGTTGTATGAATTTACCTCAGCTAGTAAAAAAATACATATATGTAGAAATGTATTCTTTGGGGCATTGTTTATAGTTCCAAAATATAGGCAAACATCAAAGAGTGGTTAAATTACAATACATCTACAAAATGGGATACTACATATTTGTGAAAGAGGGGAGGTATCAAAGGAAAAATGCAAATTTGGCTACCTTCCCTGTACAATAAATAAGATAATATATATGTATCTGTTTATTTGTGCAAAAAGATTCACAAAAGATAAACAGGTAAGTAAGTAGATTCGTTACCTCAACAAAGGTGGGAGGGGCAAATGGAATTCAAACAGAAACAAAGGAACCTAACTATTTCAAAAGAATCACACAGCCTCATGGAAGGGGGAAGGGGGAAGGAGAACTACCCCAAGCAATTTTTGAACACAGTATTTTGACTACCATGAGGTTAAAGACAAAAGGAACTACACCAAATATTGAAGCAACAGTAGTTTCAAACACAGTATTTTGACTATAGATCATGTGAACTGAAAGTTCAAAGAAACTAATAAAGCACCGACCTCTAGTTGGTAGATTTTTCACAGTCTTATGGGTTAGCAATTCTGGTTAGTTAATGGGTATTATATGATTATACAAGTAAGTAAATTTACTGTGGATAGTGGGAGCCAGGTTTCTTACTGTTGGAGAAAGGTTTACAAATATGTAAAGTGAGAAAGCTAAAATGAACCTTGTGTTGTTGGGTTGAAATGGAAGGTATTAATAATGAATTTATGTTTTAAAAATATATATACCTATAGCAAAATATATAAATAGAAATAGATATGTGTGTATAGATGGATTAGAAAATATACATATATTTCCTAGCTCTGTACACTGAGAGGGCCTAGAAATAATTATACTCTAATAGCAGTGAATACTTTCTCAACTGGGGCTGAAAAAATAAGATGAGTCTGGAACATCTTGTAGTGCCAAAAAGCAAGAAAGTGCTAAAAGAGAAATGATGGGGCTTGTCAAAGGGACACAGAAGTCAAACTGAAGGAGCTCCCACTAGTCAATGTGAGAGATTTTGAGCATCAAAGGAAAGAATGATATTGATTGGTTATACTTCATCAAATAAAATAAGAACATAAGTCTGTACAGATATAAATACATACATGAGTGGGTGATAAGGAAAAGATTCTGAGATGTCCTAAAATTAAGTGACATAAGGGCCTGAGAATGGGGGGGAAGAGTCAAGGGAAGATATTTAATCAATAGCTTCAGTTGTGGCTAACCAGAGATTCAGTGTCCCTGAATGAAGGCCCCCAGAACTACTGCAGCCCTCTTTTTACACGTGAATAGTCCCTGACCATCACCCACCAACCAACCTTGAGCCTTCTCTGTGAACTAACCACCTATCCCAAACCCTGCTTACAGTTAGCCCCCCTTCAAAGTAAATTTAAACAACTGTCTTTCCTTGAGATTATTTATAAAAGTGCCCTCTTTCTTGAATCTGGTGGACAAGCTGATTCTGCTAACTAGCATTGCTGTTGGTGAAACAGAAATATCCTGTCCCAGGACTGTCCTTTTTCTGGGTAGCATCTGTAACCGCTTAAAAAACCCTTTTATTTCAGAGACCTCTCCATTTCTATAGTTTTTGATTTGTCATGGGGGAAAGAGACAGCTCTTCCTTACAGTAGAATAGTAACAAATATCAAAGGAATGTTGGTGTTAGGAAATCATTAATGGATGCTGAAGCCAATGGTTCAAAAAATTGATACAGAGAGAATGATAAAGGTGGCAAAATGTGAACAACTGATGAATCTGGGTAAAGAATATGCGTAATTTCCCTGTACCATTCCTGCTTTCCTGTTCATTTAAAATGGTATCAAAATTAAGTTATGCTCTCTCCCAAAAAACGAGATAAAAGAATATAGGGAGTATTCTAGAATTTATATGCTGTTGCTAAACATGCTAATTTTTTTCTTTCCCAAATAAAAGGTGCTGTTTGGGTGGCAGGGTTTCCTGAGGGGATCCGGAAAACAAGGGAGGCTTAAAATGCATTTTAATATTTATTTCAGTGTTCCTGGTGTTTTGCCATCCTGTTTGTTTTGCTTTGTTTTTTAAATGACGCTTCTTAGTTTGATTCACTGCTATTCTTTCCTCTCAGGTATTTTAAATTTATTAGTGGGTAGGCCCTTTACCTAACATGATATTCAGTATCATGTTAAGAACATCAGCGTCAAATTACAAAAAAAAGCCAAGAGCTTCACAAAAGGCGGCACTTCCCTTTAAGGGTCAACCGGAGGAGGGCCGGAACAGGCCTGCGCAAAGCTTCTGCTTTCATTTCTATGGTTATTAAGTCAACTATTCTTATTAAAGGAGTACAGCGGCAAACACTTCCCTAGAGACGAGTCCACCTATGACACAGGGATGCCGTAGAATTGCATCACAATGGGTGGTCTATGAGGTTTCAAAAGTCGGATTAGATGACCTAGATTTTAATAAAATGTTAAATTGCAACTCACCTGACCCCTCGCTTTCATTTTCTTCTCTCGGCCTGCAATACACTGAACTTCCGGAGCAGATTCCTCCCCCTCCATTCTGGGCCAATGGTTTGGCCTGACCCTAATACTGCCAGGAGGGACGAACTGCGTCTGCGCAGAAAGCAGTACGGGGGGGTTGGTGGGGGAGGAACATGGCGCAAGCTCTGTCTGAGGAGGAGTTTCAGCGGATGCAGGTGCCGCTCACCTGGGAAAAGATCATCGTGCTAGGCGAAGGGGGGCGAAGTAGAGAGAGGTCGTGCTACCGGCTCTGTGAAGGGGTTGGTTGGGATGGACCTTGAGTCTAAAGGGTTGGTCTGAAGAAGGGAAACAGACTGTGAGTAGGGAGAATATTGGATTCCGAAATACTACTGGGCTCTGAGGGGTTGGATTCTGTTAGCTTTGTGGGCGGAGGAAAGAGCCCCAGCGTGGGTGATACGTACTCAGACCAGGAGGGGACGAGATCTTTTGGCCCGTGCCGGGGACACCATGGTGTGTAATGATAATGTTCGAGGACAGGAGATCATGAGAACGTGAAACCATTTTGTCTGGAGACGGAGGAAGCGGGCGTTGGACGTTTGCGTCATGGTGGGGGGAGCCCTTGTGAGGGTAATAACCATTTTTTTTGGTAGGAGGTGGAAATTTTTGTGAGAGATACTACTATGCTGGGGCACTGGGGAAGGACCCCACATGTTGTCATTGTTCCTGGGAGGCGGAGATCCTGTGTGAGCCGTGGTAGTGTGAGTGGTGGATCCTGAGAGGGAGTTAGTACCATTGGATGATTAAGGATGATCCTATTAGGCCCTGGGGGTGAAAAAGGCCCAGAATGGGCAATATCCTTAATCATTGTTGGAGAGAGGGCCAGTGGAGGTGAAAGTTGTCCACTTTGGACAGTGTGGAGGGGAGATCACTGGGATTTGGAGATGTGCCCTGTTTCTTTTGGGGAGGACTCTGAAATGGGATGAAAGGCTAGAGTGGGCTATTGTTGAGAGAGTTCCTTACTGGGTAAGACCGCTGGATTTTGGGTGTAGGGAGACTGAAAGGTGGAAACCCTGAGTAGGGTCCTGTGGGAGGGGAGGAGGAACTCTGAGTGAGGATAGGTATTGCTAAGGTCTTTGAATGAGGGAAACCAGTGTCCCTGTGTGCAGGATGTGAGGGTGGAAGGGTGAGATCATTGGATCATGAAAGGGGAAGACCCCTGTAACTTGTGCAGGGAATTTTCCTTAAGAGTAATGCAACCGGTTCACTCAAGGTCTTGTGGATAGAAACCCTGAAGGAAGTAGGGCCATCCCATTGTATCATGCATGACTGGGGAGATCTTAAGGGGTGTGGGAGACCCCTGGGTGATGAAAATTGATCACAATGGGCCATGAGTGAGGGAGAAACCATGGATTTCTGATGGATCTTATAGATAGGAACTCGCAGGTGGGTGCCAAAGGTCTTTGAATTGAATCAGCACTCACGGAGACAGATCACTGGCTCAGGGAGAAGACAAGCCCTTTGACCTTTAGCAGACACCCACCAGGGCATAGAGTCTGGTGCCATGAGAGGGAAGGAAATGTCCTGGTGGGGTAAGGGACAGTGGGTCTGGGAAGAACTGGCCTCAGTGCCCTACAGGGCTGGTAGATAGGGTATGCTTTTTGGAATGGCCCACACTTAATCTTAATTCTTGAAAGGGGTCTGGACATATTTTAAAAGCTTTGGGGGTGGGGACCCCAGGCAACCCCCTGACTAGTGAAAATTGGGCAGGTGACTACCACCTGGCCCTCATCCCTTGGGAAAGGGATGAGGGCAAGCCCCTATCTTCTACCTTCAGGGGCCTCCAAGTCTGGCCAAAAGGATAGACAGAATAGTGTTTAGTGTCTGATGAGGTTAGCTAGGAGGAGGAGGAATGTTACCCTGTGGGCATGGAGAGCCCTGGAACACACATGAATCTGACTTGGTCAGCACTCTGTAATGGCCTAAGTGCACAGTGGATTGCAAGGGGAGACATGGAGGCAGCAGGGAGATGGAGGGGTGAGGTTGGCTGTGGTTATAAGTAGAGCTGGAGAAGGTGAACAGGGGCTGAGGGGCTGGAAACTCATTTGGGAGGCAGAATGCACAGGTCTTGAGTGACCAGAGAGGCACATGGAGGGCAGCAGCATCTGTGGGGTTCATGGTAAGGGTAGGTACACATTCGTGACCAAGGTGCTTCCCTTCTTTGCTTTCCCCTAAGGCTCAGCTCCTGGAACTCCGGACAAATAACTACCAGCTTTCAGATGAACTACGGAAGAATGGTGTTGGTGAGCCAAAAGGGTCTCATTAGATGGGGGTGGCTTTGAGGGGCAGAGGCCAAGGGGAAAAAAAATCTCAAGAGGCCTGGCAGGAATTCCTTTTAGCTGCTTGTCACTAACTGAGACCGAGACTCCTTGCTTTTCCCACACCAGAACTCACCAGTCTTCGACAGAAGGTTGCCTACCTGGATAAGGAGTTCAACAAAGCTCAGAAGGTACCTGCTGCCACCCGCTCATACACCCACCAGGGCTTCCCTGTAGCCATCTGACTCATTCATCTAGCCAGTGAGCACCTACAGTGAACCAGACCTAATGTTACATGCTGTTATTAGTCATTCAAAAAGTTCTCATGGAAGTTTCTTTAGTGTGGTAATTTTACCTAATCGTGCTTAATTTATTGATCAATATGAGTTTACTCTTAATTCACTTATAATTTCAATTACTCATTCTCATTCACTAACTTCTAACAAAATAGTCAAATCTGTCAGTAAATATGCCTTGAATAGCCTCCTATCTTCCACTCACACTTCTGCCTTGTGCTTCTACTTTCCATCCCTGTCCTGGTCCTATTAGTAAAGTGAAACTAAACCTATCTCTCAGATCCTCTAAAGATGAGATAGATGAGAGAGCATATAACCTATTACAGCCCCTCAAGGCATTCAAGGCCCCTCTTTGCCTCTTTCTTCACTTCTCTGTCCCCATGCATAGCCCAATGTTATATATAGTATGTGCTCCATAAATATTTGTTAGATAAAAGAATACAGTAGGCAGAAATTCTGGCAGTCAGGAAGCTGGGCTTCTCTTTGGAAGGGTACTGATTCCCCAATCTGGCAAGGCCCTTGGCCACCCAGCAGGGGAACAGCAGCTTCCACAGTGCATGAGAGGGGACCACATAGACTTGTTTGGACATATGCAGCAATGAAGGCACAGTTTTTGAGCCGGGAGACCCATCCCATGAAGGATTAAATACTAAGACCCATGAACAACCTCAGGAGCTTAGAGGAAAGGATATAAGCAGAATGTCCCTCATTCCCTCACTCACTCTATCACTTCCGTGGGCTACAAATTTCATGCAAGCTCTGTGGTTGAAGACACCCATCCCCCAACTCCTGTCATCATTGTCCTTACTCCCTTGAACACTTGGCACAATGTCTCCATTCCCTAGCGAGTGAGTCCATCTCTGTTCACCTTATCTCTCTTCCCACCCCTTTCACCTTTAGGCACTGAGCAAGAGCAAGAAAGCTCAGGTAAGGGGACCCATGGTGGGTGAATGTGTCTGGAAGACTGTAGCTTAGTGACAATATTTCTGGATGCTGGGATCTCCTAGTACTGTCCTTCCTTTCTCTGTGTGTGCACTTGTGTCTGTGACTGCCTTACTGCCAGGCATTTGTGTCTGTCTGTTTTCCTGGGTTGTCTCTCACTCTGCCTTTCTTTGGGTGGCTTCCCTTCTCCCTTTCTCTCTATTCTCTCCGAGTCTCTGTCTCTGTTTTCCTGTTCTTCTCTCTCATTTGCTTCTCTCCCTAACTTTCTTTGTCTTTCCCCAACCTGTTCCTATGTCTGCCATCATTTTTCTTTTTTCTCCTTTACCTTTATCTCTCTCTTATTCCTTGTTTTTCTCTCCCCCACTCCTTTATCTCTTCAACTTCTTTATTTCCCTTATCTCCATTCTCTTCTCTCTCTGTTCTCTTATTCCTTGTTCTTCTCTCCCCCACTTCTTTATCTCTTCAACTCATTTCTTTCCCTTATCTCCTTTCTCTTCTCTCTCTGTTCTGTTCTTTCTCTGTGATCTGTCTTCCTGCCACTTCTTTTCTCTCTCCCTCTCTCCTTTCATATCTACCCCTCTTTCCCCATCTCCTTCTACCACCTCTCTCCTATTTCCATCTACTCCTCTTTTTCTTCCCACTCTCTGCCCCCATATCCCTCTCTTGCTCCCCATCTTCCCTTCTCTCTACCTGCCATTGTCTGTCTATCTCCCTGTTTCTTCTTTATCCCTCCCTGTATTTTTATCTCCCTGTATCTCCTGATTTCACCCATCTCATTCCTTGTACCCTCTGTTCTCCTCTCATGTCATTTTCTCCCTCTCTCTGTTTCTTGGCCCTACTGCCCCACCCTTTTATGCCTCTGTTGGAGACCTGGCCCGTATTTGCCACTGCAGGAAGTCGAGGGACTGCTGAGTGAAAATGAGATGCTGCAGGCAAAGCTGCACAGCCAGGAGGAAGACTTCCGTTTGCAGAACAGCACGCTTATGGCTGAGTTCAGCAAGGTGCTGGTGCCTGGGATAGCTGAGGGGAACTCGCAGGGCTAGGGAGGGCCTGAGTTGAGGCTTAAGGGCATGCCGGGGTGGTGGGACTAATGCTGGCCCTGTGTCACTGTCCATGGTGCTGAAATAGGACCTGGGTCTCATGGGGGAGCAGTAATTTGACAGATGAGGCCACCCACTGGGCTGGGATTAGGAGGCTGCAAACCTGGAGGTCAGCTGGTTCCTGACCAAAACACTCCTTTTCTTTGAGTTTCAAGTCTCCTTCTGTATATTTTGGAGCTAATGCTATGGAGCCCCCCAGCATGTTGGTTGGGTTCTTGGTAAAGTTCTTAGTGCTCAACATGGGATGGAAAGATATTTGAACTACTTCCCTTTTCTGTTCCTTCCCTTCATCTGACATGAGCCTGGGTTCTTGTTCTAGATGATTCATCCTGGATTGGATACTTTTCTCCTCACTGATTTTAGTGTCAGGGCTGTTTCTAAACCCAGTGGACAGTTGAAGACATTGTCTTTTGTACCCTTATCTAGCTTCTGTATCCATTGTCAGTAATTTTGTAAGTTTTTAGTGTGTTTCAGGGAAAAAAGCCTCACAGCAACAAAAATGGTATTTCCAAGGCTCCATGTGAGAATGTAGTGCTTAAGACCTTAAAAAAACAGCAAGAAAAACAACCTTTAAGCAGGTAAAATACCAGGAGAGGTGATTTAGTAAGTAGTAATAAAGAGCTAGAACCTAGATTAAACTCTTGGTTCTAACCTTTTGCTAATTGTAACCTCAAGCAAGTCCTCTACCTGCCTGTTTCTTGGTTCCCAAATGTTTAAAATGGAAATGATAATGACAGTACCTGCCTTGCATGGTTTATGTGAAGACTGAATGGGTCAGTGTCTGTAAACCACTTAGAACAGAGCCGTGCACATGATCAGCTATGTAGCTGTTAGCTACTAATAGTATCCTTTTATTAATTGACTTTCCCTCTAAAATATTTGACCCTTTAAAAGGCTTATATCCATCCTGTGGCCTTGCCCTGTCTCAGCCCTACCACCTCTTCACCTGCTGTGTTCTCACAGCCTCCTTGCTGGTCTCCTTCCTTCTAGCTTCTTCTACTAGTCCAAGCCCTAGAGGTTATCCTGACCTGCAGGTCTTACTGTATCATTTCTTTTTTTATTATTATTAAGATGTTACTGATATACACTTTTATGAAGGTTTCACATGAAAACCAATGTGGTTACTACATTCACCCATGTCAACTCTCCCCCATACCCCATTGTAGTCACTGTCCATCAGTGTAGTAAGATGCCACAGAGTCACTATTTGCCTTCTCTGTGCTACACTGTCTTCCCCGTGATCCCCCCACACCATGTGTGCCAATCATAATACCCCTCAATCCCTTTCTCCTTCTCTCCCTACCTACCCTCCCCACCCTCCCCCTTTGGTAACCGCTAGTCCCTTCTTGTAGTCTGTGAGTCTGCTGCTGTTTTGTTCCTTCAGTTTTGCTTCGTTATTATACTGTATCACTTATTTAAACACCTCCTCCCAGTGGGTCCTTGCCCCTTAAAGTTCAGAGCCCCTGGTGCTCATATAACAGACCTTATCGCCTCACTTCTTGCTGCTTCCTGCCTCCAGCCTCAGTGGTATCATGGCTTTTGGGATGAGGCAGGGACAGGCATTCCTCCGTAAATCTAGCTCATGTTTTCCAGCACCACTTCCTAGGAACTGGAAGTGCTCACAGAGAGACCTGGGTTCAAGGCCTGCCTCCATCACATATTTGCCAAGATTTTTCAATTCAATTGTTCCTTTAGCAAATAGTCATTGAGTACCTGTTATGTGCTTTGTGTTCTGGAAATAGTTGTGAGCAGCACAAAATGGTCCCCACTCTTGGGTAGCTTATATTCTGTGCGTGGGATGGGGAGAAAGATGATAGCATAGTAAATAACTGATAGTTCTATAAGCTGACAGTTATATACGGTTTACTGTGTGTGCAAAGTCCTGTTTATTTGACTTTGTGCTATTCACTCATCTTTGTTATTCACTCATTATTGCTTTATGTTATTCTCTTATTTAATTCTTACAACAAGCCAGTGAGATAGTATTAGTATCCCTATTTAACAGATGTGGAAAACTGAGCCCCAGAGAGAGAAAGTAATTTGTCCTACAGTCACATGGCTTGAGTAGAAATTCACATCCAAGCAGTCTGGTTTCAGAATCTGTTCTTGTGACTGTATGTGGCAAAATGAAATATAATTGTCAGTCACAGTTGACGATCCCAAAGTTTTCAGAGCTTTACAAAATTAAGAACATATTAGGTAAATTTAATTGTGATTAGTGCTAGGTTAGAAGAAATGAACAGAGTGCTGTGCTAGACAGTTTTGGAATTTCTGTGTTTGGTAATACTTCTTGAAAGGTGATTTTTGAGCAGAGCACTGAAGGATGCAAAGAAGCCAGTCATGTGGAGAGCTACATGAAAGGACTAGTGTTCTGGATAGAAAATATCCCAGGCAATAAACTGCAAATTATCTGTGGGACTCAGTATTCTCATCTGAAAATGGGAACAGAGGATCTTATCAGGACTGCCTTGACAACTGTATCTTAGCCAGGAGTTGAGCAAGGAGCTGGCCTAGTTTTATTTGCATTGTAGGCCTCACAGTGGAGGGCTGTGGGCAGTGCTGGCCCTGGACCTGAAAGCTAGGCTCCCAGATGCAGACCTCTTGTCTATAGATGAGGGCTGACAGTGGGCCTATCTGTGATGTTGACATCTTAGACCAGCAACTCTTTTGGAGGAGACTGAAGTCTTGGACTGTGACTGTGAGGTTGGAGTGGGCAAGCAGAAAATTGTTCTCAGTATTCTCAGTCCTCTGTGACTCAGCAACTTAACAGATATGTGAATTTGAAGTTGTTTGGCATCTGTGACTCAATGTCCTTATCTGTGAAGTGGGGGTAATAAATAACAAGAGCATCTACATCACAGAGATGTTATTGGAATTAAGTGAAGTGTTAAGTGCTTGGGCCAACTATTAGGTATATTTCAGCAAATACTGTTCTAATTCTCTGCTTTTCTGCTACCTCACTCTTCCCCTCCTCAGTTGTGTAGCCAGATGGAACATCTGGAGCAAGAGAACCAGCAGCTGAAGGATGGCGCTGCTGGGGCAGGGGCTGCCCAAGCTGGGGGCCTCGTGGATGGCGAACTGTTGAGACTGCAGGCGGAGAACACAGCCTTGCAGAAGAATGTGGCAGGTGCATGGAGACTTTACTGGGGATGTGGGGACCTTGGGGCTTGAACAGAGTGTTCTCCTGCTGGGGGTAGGGGAAAGACTTTAGAATCAGGCTTGGCTCTGCCATGAACCAGTGTTCATGAACTTTGGACAAGCCCTTTCACCTCTCTGAGCCAATGGTTCCTTGTCTACAAAGTGCATGTAGTGATGTCCACAATCTGGAAGATTGTAGTCAACATAAAAGGTGGTATCTGTCTGAGATTAGTTCAGTGCCTAGTACCTAGAAAATTTTAGATTAGCAGATTGAACATCTGAAAGGAGATGCTTGCTAAATGGAGAATGTGAATGAAGGATCGTTGGGAAGAGTCTGAGTCCAGATTCCCCTTGGGGTCTGGGATGAAAGCTGAAAGAAAGTTTGGTAGAGTGCAGGAGGGTCCCAGTGTGTGGACTTTTGGAACAGCTGGGGCTTGTGGTGTGGTGGGTGGTAGTTTGGTGATCAGGAAGGAGACTAGAATGTGGCCAGGGATTATGAGATTATAGGAGGATTTAGCTGTAAGTAGCGGGTAGGGATGTTGGGCATCACCTTGGAGGGTTGTGGATGGGGCCTGGGGGATAGAAGGTGGTGCTTGAGAAACCATCATGGGCTGATTTGATTGATGGTAGACAGGATTTCTGTGGTTGGTAGGGCTTAAAAGATTTGTGAGAGATGTAGATGGGGCTGAACCTTTGTTTTTTCAGGCTTGTGGTCATTCGGGGCAAGGTGTCTGCTACCTGAGGGATCAAAGGCCAATTTTCTCTCTACCTGAGGTATGGCAGGGGTCTTCAGAGACCACCTCATCCATCATTTATCTCTGTTGTACCCTCCAGCCCTGCAGGAGCGCTATGAGAAAGAAGCTGGAAAATCCCCAACTGCCAATGAGGGCCAAGGGGATCCCCCAGGGGGCCCAGCACCCACTGTCCTGTCCCCCATGCCTTTGGCAGAAGTGGAACTGAAATGGGAAATGGAAAGGGAAGAAAAGAGGTTGCTTTGGGAACAACTACAAGGCTTGGAGGTGAATTTGGGTCTGTTGGGGCTGGGGTGCCAGGAGGCAGACAGATGACCTGGCTCTGCCTATGATCCCATGGTCCATGGTGATGTCTGTGACATCACCATCTTGTGGGCTGATGGATTAAGGAGGCAGGAAGGCAGGGGAAGGTACAGGCCTCACTGTTCCCTTACTGATAACAAACCCCTCCCTCATTCTTCCCTGCAGAGCTTGAAGCAGGCTGAAACATCCAGGCTGCAGGAAGAACTTGCTAAGGTGGGGCTGCTGAGCTTTCCTTGGACTTACGCCACCCCCACCCACCACTCCCCACCTGCCATACTTGCCCTGGCAGAGCTGAAGGAGCAGAGTACCCACTCAAAGTTCTGTTATCTGTGATATGGAGAGACTCACATTTGTGTTTCAAAGTTGTTTTCGATACGGAATGGGCTAATGTGGTCTCTCTAAGTCTTGTGCATGCAGGCCTTATCCCTTACTTCTGTGTCCTCCCAGCTCTGCTTGTTCATCTGTCCATGCATCTGTCCATCTATCTAACCAAGCAGACTGACTGCTGGCTCTTATCTTAGAAACTGGAGATGTAGTAGTGAGGCACTCAGTCATGATCCCTCTTTCCAGGCTTCCCAGCCTAGCCATTCTATGACATGGCCATTGGTCAATATATTGGGGGCATAAATGCTAAGCTTTGAAGCCTGAAGGAGCTGGGTGAAGATCATGTTGCTGCTGAAGACCAGATAGGCAACCAAATTACTTAAAACTTCTGAGACTCAGTTTTCGCATTTGTAAAACCAGCAGTTTACCTAGGACTATTTTGAGGATCCCACAAGATAACATAAGTAAATTCCAGCTTCCAAAACAGGATTTAACAAGCATTGTTTGTAAATATTTTATTTTTATCTTTATTAATATTATTCTTGTTATCACATATCTGTCTCCCCTTCCCCATTCCAGCTCTCTGAAAAACTGAAAAAGAAACAAGAAAGGTAAATTTCTCTTCTCCACAGGCAGGGGAAAGGGTTTTGGGGGACTAGGGAGGGGGCTGACTTGTGGAACTGACCCATCTATGTCTGTCTTTATCTTCCTAGTTTTTGCCGTCTGCAGACAGAAAAGGAGATGCTGTTCAACGACAGCCGGTAACTACCAGGGTTGGGTGTATTGGTGGACAACAGAGATGGTACCCAGCAGAATTAACTGAAGACCACAGGGGCAGACCTGGTTGCTGAGTCTTAGGCCATGGTGAATACCCCCCCACCCCCATCATCCCCAGGAATAAGATTGAGGAGTTACAACAGCGGAAGGAAGCTGATCTCAAAGCCCAGTTGGCTCAAACTCAGAAGCTACAGCAAGAACTTGAGGCTGCCAATCAGGTGAAGGCTGAGTTCTGGGATTGCTGGAATAGGGACCAGGGCTGGGTATGTAGACTGCACCTCAGGGGAGGCTGAGGTCTGGAATGGGTTCCCCTCACCTGGTCCCCACAGAGCTTGGCAGAGCTGAGAGATCAGTGTCAGGGGGAACGCCTGGAGCATGCAGCAGCTCTACGAGCCCTACAAGATAAGGTACACTGTACTTGGTGGGCTCGGAGAGGGTGGGGCCAGCTCCATGGATATTGTACAGGCCCACAAGGCCCCAAGAGTCCTGCTTCCCCTGGTTGTGGTTCCTGTGTGTGTGTGTGTGTCCTTTCTTGGATGTGGGTAGGTCCTGTCCCCCTGTTCTGTACCCACTCTCACTGGTTGTGGGGCTGGGGCCAGGTGTCCATCCAGAGCGCAGATGCACAGGAACACGTGGAAGGACTTTTAGCAGAGAACAGTGCCTTGAGGACTAGCCTGGCTGCCCTGGAGCAGGTACAGGACACCCGGGAGCCCTTACTGATCCTTCCCCAGTACCCCATCTCCCTCTGCTCATTCACATGGGGCAGGGTAGTCTGGACTTCATACTGTTCTCCTGCCTCAGTTTCTGTTTTGTTCTCAGCTTCTCCTTTCTGTTGGCTTTCACCCCTCTTATCATTGGCTGTCTATCCTTGCTTCTCTTGCATTCTGGTTTCTCTCCAATAAAGTGCAAGAAGTGTACTAATCTTAAGTGTACAAACAGTGAATCATTGCTGTCTGTCTTTCTGTCTATCTCAATGTAGCCATCACCCAGATCAAGACACAGAGCATCTTCAGCCCCTGGGAAGGTCCCTTTTACCCCTTCCCAATCAATACTTGCCCAGAAGTCACCCTCCTCTGGACCTCTAGCAGAATAGATTTGCTTTACTTGTTCTTTAACTTCATGTAAATGGAATCAGACCCCCATCTTTGTGTCTGGCTTCTTTCCTGCAGCATCATGTCTGTGAGGTTTATTCATATGCAGCCCTGGTCTGTTCTTGTACTTCTGTGTAGTGTTCCATTGTATGAATACACCACATTTATTGATTCCCCTGTCAATCTCTTTCTGTCACTGTCTTTCTCTTTGGAATTCTTTCTCTCTTCTCCTGGCTCTCTTTCCACCCCTCTCCCTGTCCCCCTGGAACTGAGAGGCTCACACCCTGTGACTGGCCCCTGGGCCCTTTTCACTCCACATCCCATCACCACCATTTTCTCCAGATCCAAACAGCAAAGACGCAAGAACTGAACATGCTCCGGGAACAGAATACTGGGATGACAGCTGAGTTGCAGCAGCGGCAAACAGAGTATGAGGACCTCATGGGACAGAAAGATGACCTCAACTCCCAGCTGCAGGTGATGTCTCTGGTCTGATCTGTCTACTTCTAGTACCCTAGTGCTGGCTCAGCAGAGTCCCCTATAAGGTACAATGGAAAGACTATGGAGCCAGGATACAGGTTCCAGTCTGGCTCCCTAACTTACTAGCACATTGTGTCCTAGACCAACTCGTTTTACTTCTCTGAGACAAATCTGCTTCAGTTAGTTAGGATAGCCATTCTGATTCCATAAAGGAATACAGAATAATAGCACATTAGATAAGATAGAAGTTTCGTTCTCTCTTATGTAAGAGCCCAGATAGGTTGTCCAAGGATGGGACAGTGGTTTTCCAATTACCACTGATCCCAGTTTCTTCTCTGTTGCTGTTCTGCCACCTTGAACACAGAACTTCCGTCTTGGCATCCGAGATGCTTACTCAAGCTCTCCTACCATCGTGTTTGTCTTCCATCTGGAACGAAGAAAGGGGGAAGGGCCCGGCATACCCCTTTCTTTAACGGACATAACTTAAGTTACCTCACCACTTCTACTTATAGAAATGAGTCTCATGACCACACCTAACTTCTCGAGAGGTGGGGGGGACTGTTAGCTAGATAATCACATGCCAAACTACAAAGTCTGTTGCTAGACAAGAAGGGGAGACTGTAAACTGGGGAGCAGCTAGCAGTCTGTGCCATGTTTCTCATTGAGCAATAGAAAACAGCACCTGCTTTACTAGGCCTAAGGGAGATGGTTTATCAGAAGTGTACTGAGTGACCAGCACCTCCTGGGAGCTCTTTATCAAACTCACCCCCTTTGCCCCTCATTAGGAGTCATTACGAGCCAATAGTCGGCTGCTGGAACAACTTCAAGAAGTCGGGCAGGAGAAGGAGCAGTTGACTCAGGAGCTACAGGAGGCTCGGAAGGTGGGCAGTGCTGGGTTGGTGGGGAGGCTGCAGGGGGAGGGATTGGTTCAGTCCCTGGAGATGGGGCAGGTGCTATGGGCAAACCTGTAGGAGTGGGTAGAAAGTGACCAATTCCATGACGATGGGTGAGTGACTTCACTAGTTCTGTGGGGATGGAGAGGAGGTGGAGTTTGGTTCATTCCCGGGGCCTGGGAGAGGGTGGTGGGCCTTGGCATTGGGGGAGGAAGTTGGCAGCCATCCTCCTGGCCCACAGAGTGCTGAGAAGCGGAAAGCCATGCTGGATGAGCTAGCAATGGAGACACTGCAGGAGAAGTCCCAGCACAAGGAAGAGCTGGGAGCGGTCCGACTACGGCATGAGAAGGAGGTACTGGGAGTGCGCGCCCGCTATGAGCGTGAGCTCCGAGAGCTGCATGAACACAAGAAACGTCAGGAGGAGGAGCTCCGTGGGCAGATCCGCGAAGAGAAGGTCGGTGGAGAGATGATGCTGCCCTTCCGCCTCTAAAACCAGGGTAGCACAGCATTGCTTGTGGGCTCGGGGATGGTGTGGTTGAGGCCCGCTGCTCCACCTGCCTGGCGCATGATGGTCTGCCCTCTCCCAGGCCCGAGCTCGGGAGCTGGAGAATCTCCAGCAGACAGTGGAGGAACTTCAAGCTCAAGTACACTCTATGGATGGAGCCAAAGGCTGGTATGAACGGCGCTTGAAGGAAGCAGAAGTGAGTTGGTGCCTGATCAGGTGCAGAGACTGGTTGGGGGGCACCCATGCCAAAGCAAGAACTGGGAGTGGTCGGGCCCTGGAACTTCTCTGAGCTTCTGTGGACTTGGGTATCCCACAGCCCCCCCTGGCTCAATAGCACCTTCCGGAGGGAATCAAGGGATGACCATCAGTAGGCAGAAAGTCAGGTGTGCAAATTTGAAAAGGCATCTCTTCTGAAGCTACTTGTCAGAAAATTACTGTAAATATCAATTTTGTTCGAACAAGAGTTTGTATTGTCATTTTCTGGAAAACTAATAATTATATCTAAGAGAGAGTGTCCTGTAGCAGTGGAGAGTCATTTGCCTGGGTTTGAATTCTGGCGGGGCTACTTTCTAACTGTGTGACTTTGGTTCAAGTTACCTGACTTCTGTGGCCCGTTATCATCATTAGTAAGAAAGGGACTGTCATCCCTGCTTGTCTAGGTGTGATGGGAGGGTTATATAAAATGAGTTAATAATAGGTAAAATCCTTACAACATTCCTGGCACAGATTAAGTGCTGTGTTATATTTTGTTAAATAAAATAAAATTAACTGCAAATGGTGGTCTACAGGGTGAACAGCGAAGCCCTACATATGACCCTGTGTACTGCCTAAGGGTATGCAATGTTTCCTGCAGGAGTGTCTTTTCTGCACATTGCGGGCCCTGCTGCTATTTCTTACACCCCTCACTAGGCATGAGGTCCTCTGTGGAGGCCCTGACCTGACCTGAGACTTGTCTTGTAGGAATCTCTACAGCAGCAGCAGCAAGAACAAGAGGGAGCCCTCAAACAGTGTCGGGAGCAGCATGCCAGTGAGCTGAAGGTGGCTATTGCATGATGGCATTCCTCTCTGCAGGGAGGGACAGGCCCTGGTGGGAGAATTAAGATGTCCCAACTGTGGCCTGAGCTGCCCTCTGCTTTGTAGAGCAAGGAGGAGGAGTTACTGGGTCTGCAGGGTCAGCTCCAGCAGGCCCAGGAGGAGCGGGACAGCCACCTGGAAACCATCAGCAACCTGAAGCAGGTCACTTGTCCTTCCACAGTCCCCTGTACACCGTGGGCCTCATCGTGTAGTGATGGGGCAGGGAGGGAGTGCATCACACTCCCATCCCCTCCCTTCTCCGCCAGCCCTGCTTTCTCCATCTCCCAGGAGGTGAAGGATACCATGGATGGACAGCGAATCTTGGAGAAGAAGGGCAGTGCTGTGGTATGATAGGGAGATGTCCAGACATGGCCCGTCCTGCCCTGTGGCCCCCTGCCTATGGGCCCAGTGGGCCTCAGCGCCTGTCTTTCCCCATTTCCCACAGCTCAAGGACCTCAAGAGGCAGCTGCACCTGGAGCGGAAACGGGCGGATAAGCTGCAGGAGCGGCTGCAGGACATCCTCACTAATAGCAAGAGCCGCTCTGGTGAGGGACCAGCCAGGCTGGAAGGCAGTGCACAGGCCTGAAAGCCTGAGCAGCTTCCTGTTCCTCCTCCGCTGGCCTTGCCTGCACCTTCTGTTCCGCTTAAACTTGTCCTGTCTTTTACCTTTTCTCTACATCTCTCTCTTGGGTTTTGATCTTTCTCCACATTCTCTCTTTCTGTGTCTCTGTCTCTCTCCTTTTTGCTGTGTCTCTTCTCTGTTTTTGTCTCTCTGCTTTCTCCTGTTATCTGGATTCTTCTCTCTGCTTTCTCTAGTTATCTCTTTTTCTCTTCTTGCCTTTTCCTTCTCTGTCCCTTTACCTCTTTCTGTCTCTTCATCTCTCTCTTCTCTCTCTGTCTTTGGTCTGTCTATGTCTGTTTCCCCACTACCCCCTCATATATACTCCCACACCTCACCCAGTGTCTCTAAATCTCGTATCCATTCTCATTCTGTAAATAGGAGCTGAGCCCCCACACTCACGTCCAGGGTTCCTGATAGGACACTGACCGAATCTCTGTCCTCCAGGAACTCCCAGTTGAGCTAGGGAGCCAGACTTACAATTGGACAGCAGCACTGTGTTATTATTATACAGCTAAAATCCATGTTATTTCTGCCACTTAAGGAAGAAGATAAAACAAAACAAATTTTGCTTCAGATCCTTTTTTATAAATAAATGGCCTATAAATATGTTTAACTAAGATGCAGTGATAGCTGTGGTACATCTTCCATATCACAGGCACAGAGAGAACTTGCTCGCTTGCCCCCCCCACCAGCCATCCAGCTCTCACTGGAGGTCCTTGGAATGTGGTATCAGCCTCCCCTGCCCCTGACACCCAGAAATGGCTGCAAGAGCAGAGGCCCATGCTCAGTGGCCATGTTGTAAGTGACATGGCAAAAATGGATGTATCTCTCATCAAATCAGTGTCTGTCCAAGGCACTCAGTCTCCTGAAGTTACCTCACTTTGTAAAAGAGGAGTTCTGTTTCTGTTTTTTTGTAGATTAACGTATAATTCAACAAACATTCAAATTGTGTGCCATACATTCTCCTTGTCTGTTAGCTGAAGTTCAGATTTAGGTGTTGGCTATGAGCCTGTCTCCGTCTTTGTTCTCTTTGTCTCTGCTCTGACTTGTCCTTATCCAAGGTTTCCATTGGCCTCTATCATATGCTCCGGCTTGCTGTCTCTCTGGGGTTTGCCCTTTGCATGTGCTTTGCCCCTGGGCCCTCTCCATCCATCAGTTCTTCCTTTCCCCATACCCTGGGTCAGAGTGTGTATACCACTTTATGCCCATTCATGTCCAAGATGCCAACTCCCTCCCACTGTCTTCACCTTTGTCCCTCCTGTGGGGTGTGTGTTTGCCTAGAGAGGCACCCCCTTGTTCTGTTTCTGACTTTCCCTACCAACTATCTGCTTCTACCTTCCCCCATGCTTGAGTGTCTCTTTGCATCTTTCCATCTCTGTCAAATCTATTTCTGCCTCTTCCTGCCATTCACTGCCCTGGGACCCTTGGGGAATGGGGTTCAGGTTTCTTTTCCCTCTCTGCCCAGGCCTTGAGGAGCTGGTTCTCTCAGAGATGAACTCACCAAGCCGGACCCAGACTGGGGACAGCAGTAGCATCTCCTCCTTCAGCTATCGGGAGATCTTGCGGGAAAAGGAGAGTTCAACTGTTCCAGCCAGGGTATGGGGCAAGGAAGAGCTGATAGCCCCAGGTTCTCCTACCCAAATTCTGGGATGGAGCTCTCTCTTTTCCCTCCCCTGCAACCATTTCCTACTTGGGGCCCAGCACACACATTTTCTTGTCGACTTTTCTCCAAGCTCACCAACTTGGATTCAGATTGTTAAATGAAGGATGGACAAATTATTAACACTGACCTTCCATTTCATCACTTGTGGATTAATTCCACCTTTCCTAGTGCCATAAAATGTGTGTCTCTCCTTTCCACCCATTTCCTGACATACTGCTCTCATAACTGCTCACCAGGTACACCATCCATGTAGGAGGTCCTTTTTTCTAATTTGTAATTATCACTGATTGTTACTGACATCTATCACAACAGCTTCCTTGCCAGCCACTTTTATTTGGAAATAACTTGTTACTCTTTCGCAGGTAGTATGTGTACATTGTAAAACATTTTAAAAAACAAAGAAGCAAAGATACTTTTAAATCTAAAATCATATTTTCACCATTCAGAGATGGCCATATAAATCCTTCCAGACCTCTCTGTCTTTTTTTCAAACCCAAATGAGATTATAAATAACTTGGTTTTGTTCAGCTGATCTCTACCTCCCAATTTGGTAAATTTTCATTTCATCTGATATTTTGACCTTAATCAGATTTCTCTCATTGGTCCCCAAATGCCTTTTATTGATGGGTTTATGAAAAGCAGCACACAGTTTCAGAGCACATGTTGTGTCTGGTTGCTTTATGTCACTTAAGTCTCTTGAATCTTGTGTGGTCCCTTTTCTTCCTGACACTAGTCTGTAGAAAAAACCAGCCCAGTTGATCTGTAGGAAGTGTTCCACCTTTGATTTTTCTGCTGGCTTCTAGTGGTGTCATTTAGCATGTTCCTTTCTCCCTTGGTTTTCATGTCAGCTGGAAGTTAGAGCTCATGTGCTACAGATTCTTCATCCCCTCAATAAGTCTGTGACATGGTGGTTCCTGCCTCCCCTTTAGGCAAAGGGGGATCCAGAGTCTCTTGGAGCTGCTGAAACTAGCCTGCAGCCACGGTTGTAGAGCCCACCTCCCCCTGCCCCACCCCTGGTGTGGTTCTCAGGCCCTGATCCTGTCTTCGGCTGTGGCACTGATCCTGGGCTGGCCTCTCCCCTCCTCTTTCCTGCAGTCCTTGTCCAGCAGCCCTCAGGCCCAGCCCCCAAGGCCCGCAGAGCTGTCAGATGAGGAAGTGGCTGAGCTCTTTCAACGCCTGGCTGAGATGCAGCAGGAGAAGTGGATGCTGGAGGAGAAGGTGCTGTCTGCCTGCTGGCATGCCCTTGACGAGGAGGCTGGGGTCAGGGTGGTGGAAAGTCTGGCCAGGCCCCACCTCATGTGCAGTTGTGTGGTCTGAGGTGGTCTGAGGTGGGTGGGCCATCCTGCAGGTGAAGCACCTGGAGGTGAGCAGTGCCTCCATGGCAGAAGACCTCTGCCGGAAGAGCGCCATCATTGAGACCTATGTCATGGACAGCCGGATAGGTCAGTGCCCCTCCCTAGTCCTCCTTGCCCAGCCTCTTACCCACCCCTTACTGCCCACCCCCCAATCCAGTACTGTGGCTTCTCTCCTCTGGGGACTCAGCAAAGTTACTGACAAGACAACAGCTGGTGGAGGGGAGAACTGAGGCCTGTCCCCACCTATGTCTTTCCCTCTGCTGTGCTTCTCATCTCGGCCCCTCCCTCCTCTCCTGGTCTCTGTCATATCTCCACTTTCTTTTCTCTAGTGTGTCTCTCTGTCCTTTTCTTTTTCTTTTCTTCTCCCTGCATCTCTTTCTCTCCCTGTCTCTTCTTTGTGCCCCATGCCCCTTCATCCTGTCTCACTGTTCCTACTGCTTATCTCTATGGTTCCATCTCTGGAAGTTGTCATTCTCTATACGTATATCCCTTTTGGGTCCTTATCTCTTCTTCCTTCTCTCCTCTTTCCCTCTTCCCTGTCTTTTTTTTCTTTTTTGCTCCTTTTCAGACCTCCCAGTTTTTTCCTTATTAATCAGAGTAATACTGACTGATGTGCTGAGGATGGACTGTGTGCTCTGTGCCTCACATTCAGGCATGTACTTTTTTCCAGCTTCATGAGTTAGTATGCCTGTATCTCAGGAAGCCTCTGTCCCCCACACTACATGGCTTCTTCCCCCACCTTTCTCCCTTGCTCTCTGTTTCTGTCTTTTCTGCCCTGTCTTGGTCCTTCTCTCCTTTGGCTCTGCCGAGGGAATGGTTCTCAGCCTGGGCCCTTGCAGATGTGTCTGTGGCAGCAGGCCACACAGACCGCAGCGGGCTGGGCAGTGTCCTGAGAGACCTAGTGAAGCCAGGTGATGAGAACCTTCGGGAGATGAACAAGAAGCTGCAGAACATGCTAGAGGAGCAGCTCACCAAGAATATGCACTTGCACAAGGCAAGTGTGGCCTACCAGCCTACCCATCACACAGCCCCTGGGTCACCTGCCAGTCCCCCCATCCACCCACCCTGTTCATGGACTGCTCCTCAGTCCTCATCTTCCCATCTTCCAGTCATCTTCCAGTCATCTTCCTTCCTGTTACTTTAGTCTTTCACTCTTCCCTTTATCCTTGCATCCACCCCCTCACCTACTCACACACATTCATCCAACTCTCCCATTGATGTGCTCTACTACTTGCCTAGATACTCTCTACCCATCTCATCATCTGTCCCATGCCTTTACACCCATTTCCTGACATACTGCTCCCATATCTGCTCACCAGTTGCTGCTTGTTTTACCTTTTACCCACTGACCCAGTGACCTGCCTGCCTACTGGTTGTCTTCCATCTGTCCTCCAAAACAGTTCATTTGTCCACCTATATGCCTTCCATGGATCCTCCATGTGTCCCTGCACACATCCACATGCCATTCTGACACCAAATATTTCCCCCATCTCTGGGGGAGTCAGAAAGGATGCAGATCCATCCTTAGCCTCTGAGAAGCAAGCTCACCATTTAGTAGAAAAGAAGGTTGGGGGGTTCGTTGTTATCTTCCCATACCTCCCATATCTACATCCCTAGCTCCAGAGGCTCCCTACCCCTCGTACACATATTTTCCAAGTCCAGCCCACAACTGAGGGCTCTGAGCTTCTCCAAATACTTTCCTGTCCCAGGCTAGACATAACTGGGCATTGATTCATGGGGTGAGAAGGATGATACCCTAGACTTGGTGAAGGAGCTTACCCTGCTGTCTTCTCTGGCCCCTGATGGCTTGTTTGTTTCTTAGGACATCGAAGTTCTGTCCCAGGAAATTGTGCGGCTCAGCAAGGAGTGTGTCGGGTCCCCTGGCCCAGACCTACAACCTGGAGGAGCCAGCTAAAGACCTGCAGGCTGCACCCACTCCCTCCCCTCCCCACCCCTGCCAGGACACCATTCCCTTGAGCTTTGGTGGGAAAATGGGGTGGGGGGGTGCGTGGGGGGCTAATGCCAAAATCCAATAGGGTGGGAAACTGGACATTAAAGGGGTTGGAGGCCTGATGGCTGGTGTTAATGACCCTGTCTTAGGGTTGAGACCCAGGGGGAGTGGGGATCCTGTGGGGAGGGGCAGGGATTTCTCTTCCTTCTTGACCCTGGTTCCCAGGGATCTTTGCCTTCATCTCTGCATGAGCTCACTCTCCCAGAGACCAACTCTTTTTTATTTTATTTTATTTTTTAATTTATGTCTGGAAGCCTGGCTACTCTGCATTTGGGATTGGGGATGTTGGGTGGGGCGTGGTCCATGTTTAGCATTCTAGCAACATGTATGTATGTGTGTGTGTGTGTGTGTGTGTGTGTGCACACGTGCGCATGTGTATAAAGGCTGTGCAGCCAAAATACCATCTGGCCAGATGGGCCCACCCCACTGACTGTCTGCTCTCATTCTTTCCAACCATGAGGGAAAGGATGGGGAGGGTGGGGAGGTCACATCATTGGAATGGGGAAGGATGTCTCTTATGAGAAGGGTGGTATCTGGCTACAACTTCACTCTCCTTCCCCCACCCTCACCTAGCCTGTCTCCAGCTACTGTTTGTTGATCAACCCTTCACACTGAGTGGAGTAGAAATAGTTGCAAACATATATATGCGTATGGACATGTATGGGGTGTGGGTGTAGAGGAGTGGCCAGATGGGAGGATGGACTGATGGATAAAGAAGTGGAAGTTTGGCATGGATTGATGATGAATGGGTCGGGAAATAATGGACAGATGGATGGACGGAGAGGTGTTTAGGTGAATAAATAGATTGGTAAGTGGATAGAGGTTGGATAAGTGAGGATGTACGTGGACAGATGGATGACTGGGGAAAGAATGGATGGATGAGTAAATGAAGAGTGGAGCAGGTAAATGATGAGCAGGGTTTTGGATGGACAGATGGGTGGAGGGGGATAGATATGGATACTTTGGTGAAGAGGAAGGTAGATGGGGTGAATACAAATGGTTGAGTGAGTGGGTGGATTAATGACAAAATGGACAGATGGATGGGTAGAAGAACAGGTAGAGTAATTGGTTGAGGGAGAATGGATGGATAGGTGGGTGGTGGGATGGAGAAATAGACAAATCAGGAATGTGCTGAGTGCACAGATGGAGGATTGTATGGGTGGGTAAATCAAAGGGCTAAAACTGGCCCTGCATTACTGCTGCCCCCTCACAACACACCTTTAATTACCTAAGATGAGTCCTCTGTGCACTATTCCCTGTGCCACTCCCTTTCACATCACTCCATTAAATGCTTTCAATGACACTATCACAGGATAAGTGCATTTGACAACTGAGGAAACCGCAAGTCACTTGTTCAAGGACACAAGTCAGTGGCAAAGCTGGGGTTGAAGCCCATCTATGTCTGAGCCACTCCACACCCAGTGCTCTTTACACCCAGGAGCAGAGCCTGCTAGGGGAGGTGTCATAATTTGAGGCTCCTGCGTGTGGACAGATGAGGGAGACTGCCCCTGAGAGCTCAGCACCTCTGGGAGAGAACCTGGTATGGTGGTGGGGCCTGGCTTGTCAGCATCTGTACTACCTTTACCGCCCCCCCCATTTCACATCTGGAAATGGGCAGCTGTGCTCCAGTCCCACAGCAGCAGTCTTGGTTAGACCTGGGCTCTAACCCCCCCCCCCAACGTCCACAGCACCTTTGGGGTCCTGGCCATCTAGAGAAATGCTCCCCAACCAGACCCCTCCATCTTCCCCCTTCTCCAGCCTGGAGGGCAGAGAGGGGACACAGCGCTGCATCATTCCCCATGGCACACTGCTCTGGGGCCATTAACAGATGCCTCCCCATCGATCGGATCTGCTAAGTGCTGCTGATTCAGACGGGTGGGGGTGGGGGGACCCTGGGGGCAGAGAGGGTAAGAGCTGGGCAGGAAGAAGATGGGGATAACTGGCAAGGCTCCCTGCCACCCCCATTTTCCAGATGACGTGACTGAGGCCCAACCAGCTTTGTGGGAGGCGGAGTCTCCCCAGGGTCCCTCTCAAGCTGTCCTAGGGGAGGGGGCTCTGGGAGCCACAAGGCCCCTCCCTGCCTCTCTTCATCTCCCGGCAAGCTCCAAGGGGCGGGGAGAGAAAGCCAGAGGAGGAGGAGAGCTCAGGCAGCTCTGCAGAGGGGGGCAGGAGCTGCAGTGTTTGGTACCCCCAGCCCCACCGCTGTTGCTGCTGCTGCAGCGGGGACACAGGTGAGGACGGTCCTTTGGGGAGGCGGAGGGGTCCACCAACAGTGCTGTCCTAGTCCCTCCCGGGTCCAGCCTCCATTCCCTAGCCCATCCTGGGACAGTCCCCAGGGGTCCTGCTGGACTTTGTCTTCCAGGAACCCAGCCCCCTCCCCCTGCCTGTGCTGCTTTCTGTCCGGGGCCTGGCCGTGGCTGCTTCTCTATTTCCTGCTGCCGCTGCTGCTACTGCCGCTGCCCAGCAAACACCACCAGCCCCTTGGGGTGTGGTTTCCACAGACCAGCCCCCAACAGGGGGACAGAGCCTTATCCCAGCCTCCCTGTCAGCTTCCTGCAGGACCCAGTGACCCCCCTCCCTGAAGACACACCCAACTCCCTTTCAACACCCCACCCCCCCCACTGCCCAACCCATTTTGGAGGAGACCTCATAGTCTGTCCTCTGGGTGCTCTGGGGCTGTACCCAACTTTCTTCCAATTGAGCCCAGTCCTGACAGATTCCCCCAGGCCCCTTTATTCCTCCTGGAAGTCTTGAGAAGATCGATTAGCTTTTCTTAGCCACCCAGACACCTCTCAGCCTCCGGAAAATAAAATAACCTGGCCCCCTTTAAGTACCCCCATTCCCTTCTCCAGCCCCTCTATGGGGCCCCACTTCTCCTTCCTTCCCCAAAACCCCAGTAGAGTGTAGACACCCCCCATACACACATACCATGCTATTGTTGGCAGCTCAAGGCATTCCCAAGACACCTCTCAGCCTCTTTATAATCTCCGAGCTCTATAGCCACCTGTAAAATGCACCAACCCTTTTCCTAGATCCACGAGGGGGCTTCAAACCCCTTATCTTTTCCTCAGAAATTTTGAGGGTGTTGACACCTTTCTCAGCCCCTCTGGAAATCCCTCCAGGTACTCTCAGCCTTTTTAGACACCTCTGGTTCCATTTCTACCTCTTTTGATGTCCCAGTTCCCCCTCCAGCCCTGCTAAGGAGTTCCAGTCCCTTCTTTTTTCCCTCAGAACTCTTGAGAGTGTAGACAGCTCCCCAGTATTTCCTGGCACTCCCCCAGACATCTCTCAGGCACATATCAACCTCTCTAGAATCATCTCAGTCTCTGTAAACACTCCCTCAGATATTCTTGGCCCCTCAGGCGCCTCTTTTCTGCTCCTCTCATGCCCCCTTGGCCCTTCTCAGTGCCTCAAGACAATCCCCAGATTCCTCTCAGACACCCTAAATGCCTGTCAAGCCCCTGCCCCTCTGTGTAGTTCCTCCTCCTGGTTCCTCTTGGCCTCTCTAGACACCCCCAGTTTCCTTGTGCGAGTGGCTCAGGGCGTCCCCAAGTTCCCCACCATACTGGAGACAGCCACATTCTCCTAAAGGTCACACCCCAAGTTTCCGTGGGCCTGGGGCACGGCAGGATGGCGGCAGGCGTGGCCACGTGGCTACCCTTTGCACGGGCGGCCGCGGTGGGCTGGCTGCCCCTGGCCCAGCAGCCCCTGCCCCCTGCACCAGGGGTGAAGGCATCTCGAGGGGATGAGGTTCTGGTGGTGAACGTGAGCGGCCGGCGTTTTGAGACCTGGAAGAACACTCTAGATCGCTACCCAGACACCCTGCTGGGAAGTTCGGAAAAGGAATTCTTCTACGACGCTGACTCAGGCGAGTACTTCTTCGATCGTGACCCAGACATGTTCCGGCACGTGCTGAACTTCTACCGCACCGGCCGACTGCACTGCCCACGGCAGGAGTGCATTCAGGCCTTCGATGAAGAGCTGGCCTTCTATGGCCTGGTGCCGGAGCTCGTCGGCGACTGCTGCCTCGAAGAGTACCGGGACCGCAAGAAGGAGAATGCCGAGCGCCTGGCAGAGGATGAGGAGGCCGAACAGGCCGGGGATGGCCCAGTCTTGCCAGCAGGCAGCTCCCTGCGGCAGCGACTCTGGCGTGCCTTCGAGAATCCACACACGAGCACCGCAGCCCTCGTTTTCTACTATGTGACAGGCTTTTTCATTGCTGTGTCGGTCATTGCCAACGTGGTTGAGACCATCCCTTGTCGCGGCTCTGCGCGGCGGTCCCCGAGGGAGCAGCCCTGTGGCGACCGTTTCCCACTGGCTTTTTTCTGCATGGACACTGCCTGTGTACTCATATTCACTGGTGAATACCTCCTGCGGCTGTTTGCCGCTCCCAGCCGCTGCCGCTTCCTGCGAAGCGTTATGAGCCTTATTGACGTGGTGGCCATCTTGCCCTACTACATCGGGCTTTTTGTGCCCAAGAATGAGGATGTCTCAGGTGCCTTTGTCACCCTGCGTGTATTTCGGGTGTTCCGCATCTTCAAGTTCTCCAGGCATTCACAGGGCTTGCGAATTCTGGGCTACACACTCAAAAGCTGTGCCTCTGAACTGGGCTTTCTCCTCTTTTCCCTTACCATGGCCATCATCATCTTCGCCACTGTCATGTTTTATGCTGAGAAGGGCACAAACAAGACCAACTTTACTAGCATCCCTGCGGCCTTCTGGTATACCATTGTCACCATGACCACACTTGGGTGAGTGCAGATCCTGTGTTGGGAGCTGCCCCATCAGTCAATTACACTCATCTTCTCTGTAAAATTAAGGTTAGGTAAAATCTCTTTCTTATATGACCTTCAGTGTGCTCATCTATAGAAATTGAAGGGGTTGAACTGATCTCCAAATCCCTCCCAGCTCTGACAATGCCTTGGTTTTCCAGGTCAGGACTCTTCGGTTTATGGGTTGTCTTAGTTGCACTCTTTCTGTTAACCTTGCTTTTTCTAGGACCTGTTGTTTCCTCTGTACAGTGAGAAATGATGATCCCTGCATCCTCTACTGAGGATTCAGTGACATGGTTGTGAAAGTTCTCTGAATGTTTCAAGTGTGGGATAAATAGGTATTGCCTTTCTATCACCCCTTTTTCCATCTTGAGGATCTATGTCTCCCGACCCTCTAGAATCATCTGCTGTGTGGGGCACTACCTCTGTGGCTTTGTGATTCCTTGATGTTCCCCAGACCAAGATATTTTCAGCATTATTTTTTTTACTGACAATCCTTAAGAGGAAAAAGCATCAAATGGAGTCACCAAATTCATGTTGTTCCTAAAGACATTGCCAAGGGCAGGTACTGTGATCCTTTTCTAGATTTCCATCACTGGATTAGGTATATCATCGTGGCTTGGTATCTGTTGAATGGATGAATTGGGCTTCCACATTGCCTTAATAGAGGTACAGGAAAATTGATTTGAGATTTCTAAGGTGTAGAAATTAATTCTGGTTGGAGGTTCGGATTGGATGGACAAACAATACTGAGAATAGGTTGGAAGTGGTATTTGGATGCCTTTTACCCTATTTAGTCCTCACAACAATGCTTGGAGGATGAGTGGCTACCCATGTCTCACAGTTGAGGACACAGTCTGAGACGACACATCACTGAGTCAGAAATGGCTAAATTGGAGAGACTTTTCAGTGAATCAAAGAAGTAAGGAAGAGTCATCCTGGGGAAAAGAGGGGCACAGTCTGAGCAAAGGCCTAGAAGCTGAGGACTGAGGGGCTGGGATCTGAAGACTGCAGAGTGGAGGGGATCTGATTGGTCCTGTGGTTAGAACAAAAGTATGCTGTGATCTTGAGCAACTCAGTTACGGAAAGTCCCTGAGCTTTGGTGCCCCACTCCCCAACAAATTGGTAACATAGGCTGTGTTCCATTTCCATGGCAGGGGAGTGGCATGGAGAAAGGGAGTGGGGAGTTTCAAGGTCCCTCCTACATTTTTCATTTGAGGACAGTTTCAAGGCTTCCCCTGGGGAAATGAGAAGGGATCCTAACTAGAGAAGGTAAGACAGACACAAGCAAAACCAACAGATGACTGCTTCTGAGACTCAGTGCCGCTCAGCTGGCTTGTAGTGGCGAGACTGTCTCTCTCCAGGAGGCTCTATTTACTGCCTGTGACTTCCTCCTTCTCCCCTATGCTCAGTATTAATAGATTCCAGCTGACTCATATGCCCCGTGCATGCAGCTCAGATGGGGGCAGCAGATGGTAGGGGCTGAGGGCCTGTTTCTCATTTGACCCCCACTGGTGGCCAGAGAGATCATTCC